GATGCTTTGGAGCCGCTTACACTCATCTGTCAACGTTCTGAGTGTGACGTTTGGGTCTTGATCTAGTCGAGCCAAAAGTCTAGTCCTGATCTCAGCATCTTGTGATGACTGGAGAGCTTTGATGAATATTAGGCATTTAAATTGGTCTTCTGTCAACGAGCGTAACTTGAACCGTTCACATTCTCTGTTGACGATGTCAGCTAAAACACCATATTCATCGGCTTCGCGTTTCACCAAATTTAGACACTGATATCGAATACTAAACAATGAGGATGATTCGCCGAATATCTCTGACAATTGAACTATCGTCTCTTCGAAACTGAGCTCTTGAGGTAACTTTGGCAATATATGGTCAGCATAGCGTGCATGTTCATTAATTCCTAACTTACGTACCGACAGTCGAGTATTCCACGCGTCGTCTTGGTTACAGATTTCTATTCTAAATGTATCTTCACAACGTTTGAACCACGTGAGAAAAGTACTTCCGCTTTCGGGATCATAGATGAATTCTGGTATACTGCTAGCAACTGCATCACAAGACGTACTTGAAATGGCATGTGAACTCGAGCGGTGGAAGCTAAGCTGTTGAGTCAGAGTCTCTAACAACCGCATTTGTGCATCTAATTGTTGTTGCTGTTGTTGTAGTATTCGGTTAAGCTGGTCGTCTGATATGGACATATTGAATTTATTTTCCTTTTTCCTCGTCGCCACTGTTATATTTTCGCTCTTACGGTTATAACACAGCTATTCCTATTGCTTAGTATTCACGGACACAGATTCACTCGACAAGGCCCCAAATCAGAACACGATTGAGCAGGAAGGAGATTATATTCCAAATAACAAGGTTAGGTGGAAGCAAGAAGCAAAATAGGAAAACCGTTAGTATATTTATAGCTTTTTACATAAGAAGAATCTAGAAGCTTCTCCATGTATCGACTAGCGCTGATTGGATAAGAATCAGCCAATCAGCGTGCGCCAAAGCAATCGTGCATTGAGCATGCTTAAATCCAATCTATGTCCCACTAACAATGTTGTACGGTGAATGTATTGTCGATGTAATAGATTAAACATGGTAGACCTTTTAAATTCATTTGGGCCTTTTATTTCACTACATCTGTTTCATTTTTTCCAGTTTTACATCGCTTCTCATTATATATATATATATATATATATATATATATATATATATATATGGATTTTAACCAGAGTTTAATCAAGAATAAGTTCTGTCACCAACGGAATGGCTTCACCAAGGTACATTCGTTGTGATATTTCAGTGCTAGCTGGACACTTAAATGTGTCAGTTTGGCGTCTAGAAACAGTAAAGCATCATTTGACTGACCGATGAGGGTATTTTTCAGTTAGGTAACAGAGAATATGTTCTATAGCCTTGTAGAGAATAAAGAAATGTTTCTGGATAACATTAAGTTTCGATGCAAACTTCATATATGCTGCCTGGAGATATCTCTCTGAAATCCAGACTTAGATTCAAATACATCATAAAGAATTGAACAATCATCGAAACGTAAACCTACTATCACTTGACTATGAAGTATTGTCTGGGCTATGCTACTTAAATTATGCAAAATGTACATAAACAAATGATTCACAAGATGTAGAACAGATTTTTTCAGGTTGTAAGTGTAGATTGATCCGTTAAGCGCCTAAATCCAGTCACAAGGAATCTATGCCGAAAAGAAATTGCTTGAGTATAATAAAAGCTGATAGTCAATCAATGATGATACTAACTTCAAGCATCCACTCCGGAGACCTAAGCAACAACAGTGACAATGATCTCTTCCCCTAAGACTAGGTGAACAAAATAAGGCGGTGATCAATTCGATGTGTGGCGTAAATCTGTGAAATACAAAATAGTTATGTTGGGTTATAGACTCCATCGACTTATCACAATTCTCTAAATAGAATTATCAAGATAATCCAATTCAGTCACCTGAAATGTTCAGTTCAATTTCCCATACCCCATTAACAAAGAGAGATGAAATTGTCTGGTCAAATCCTGGAATATTAGAAGTAAAAAGAGTATCAGTGGTAGCAGGAAAGATTAGACACCGAAGATACATTTAGAGAAAAGGTAAATTAATAAATTACAAATGAAAACAAGTTATGAGGAATTTAGGATTTCAGAATTTGGGGGGGAGACAAAGAACGGATGCGCCTACACCATTGCAAACTATTTTGAGTCATATCATTCATAGTTTCTAAATAACGATATTTCACGCGGACGCCAATCAAGTATTTTACAGCTATGAACATGGCTAGGTCCAATTTTCAACGACTTCAGAAATTAATGTCATGTTTTGGTTTGACCACCCCTAACTTTCTTCCAACCTGCTCCTACACCAGAAAACATAGCCATTCAAGGTAGGCAGTGGTCGGACATACGTAACACATATCCCAACCACCTCAGTTGATGAAGATTTACTACCTCATCAATCAAATTCCCACCTTTATCTAGTACTCTACTCCTAACTCAGGCATTGCTTACTGCGTGATCCCAAAATACACGGGCAGTGCTTCGTAGGCACCTTTGATCTAATACCAGTAACCTACAAATATTTTCTATTTGTAATGGCCATGGTTCACGCCTGCTGTTTAGTAGGCTTGTCTTTTGTTTGGCAGGCGGATATCTTGACTACGTCACAAGTGACGCAAGTTGGCAAAGGCAGTCGAACCTTCTGAATCGGTACCGAGATTTCGTCAGACATCAAACCATCAGTACCGATGAGACTCCTAAGATAAGTGAGGCGGTTGATGTATTCAACTACTCCACTCTATATTGTTAATCCAGGCGATGATGCAAGCCAATCCTGAAGTAACAGTTTACATTTGGAGGGGAGAACCGCATCCCAAACACGCTTGGATTGTTGCTTAAGGTGATCAGAACACTGCAATTTTTTGTCAGCGTCTTCACCAAACAGAACTATATCATCAGTGTGTTACAAGTAAACAAGTGGATCTTCTGATAGATGAATCCTTAAAAAGTCAGACTATAGAGTGTTATCCCTGAAAGCATATCTGTGACGAAGTTAAATAAAAATATGGAAAGCGGACAACTCTGACGAACACCACTTGAAGTAACTGATTCCGATGACAGTTTACCATAAAATCTGAATCGACTAGTAGTTTTCGAGTAGAGAGAGTCTGTACAAAGTTGATGTACCTATTTGGTACACCCTTGAATGACAAACACTGCCACGAAACATTACGATCAATGGAGTCAAACATCATCTTAAGGTCAAGGAATATAGCTATAATCGGACGTCGAATATTATGTCTATGTTTCAGAATCTGCCGAAGGGTGAATACTATGTATGTATATATAAACTCTCAAACTAATTTCTCCCTAAATTTTCATCTCATATTCATTCGTGACAATTTTTCCTGTGGAACATTTATCTGAAATTATCTAACAGAAAATTTCTAGCCAGTCATAATTTTATCATCTTCATCAGCATATAATCGGTTTTATCTGATGATTGTTTACCTCTCTTTCTACGTTTTCGATCCATAGAGCAAATCATAATTATAAATACAAACAAATTTGTCAAACACTTCATTTCTGTTCTTTTTTTCACATTTCCACTTGACAAACAGTTGATAAAATTAATGCAGTGCACATATTGTTAAATCATTTAGGCTAGTGGGCAGATTGCAACTTGATCGATAGAATCTGACCAACCCTAAAGGACTAGACAAGCATGATATTAATCACCACTCACTTCTACATACCTATGCATAAAATTGTGATGATTGGTAATTGAAAGTAGTCGACAGGATCTCTTACTTTGTCTAGGTTTCGTACTAGTTGAGGCTTATGAGCAAATGTTCTTACTAAGTGCAATAATTCTGACTAATTCGATTATCTGAGTGAAATTGTTTTTTAAGATTCATTTAGTTTTTAAAGGTAATTTATTATCATGAACTGATATCAAGTAATGACAACACATGAAAAACCTGAAATTATTGAGTAACCTGTTGTCGTTCGAATTTAAGACCATTCTTTCCGTATACTTAGTTCTATATTTGAATGTTGCTAAAGGATAAAATGATTCTTTTCTACTGCTTAAATTGTTGTAGACGTAATAGATTTGTAATTTAGTGATCGACTGTACTGACTGTCAGAGAAAGAGGCAAGGGAATAGAAACTATACAAGTCAAGCAGCTCTTTTTTCAAGTGAATCAGTCCATATATTTTTTATGTATAATTATCACATATATAATTGTTTGTGGTACACTTTTATATCCTTTGTTTTACGACCCTTCATTCTTAATATTTCTCTTAGTACTGTCCACAAATTACAGTTAATCAGCTATGAGTAAATTGCTCATATTCCTGTAGTGTTTGATTAAAACACATAATGCATACCTACATATTTTGATTCATTAATAGCATATCCCATAGCTTGGAATCTAAGTATGTAATCACTTTTTGAACAGCTAGTGTACTCTGGACCACATATTGATCATCAAAAGAACGTATCCAAGGTCAATGAAAGTCAAAGGACTCTTCACTCATCGAAGTATTTATATATGAACATATATAAATAGTAAATAGTTCTACAATAAATAATGGTTAGTTTAAGTTACAAAGAACACATTCAAGGTGATAAACTCAGCAGAAACAGTTCAATCTTAGCTTTGACAGTTCAGTATATCCGGACGGGTAAAGTTTACCAAGCAATAAGAGAACAGTCGGTTTATGATTATCCAAAGAAATCAGACTAGTTACTCATGAATAGTAGTCATAATAAGCGAGTCACACCACCATCCACTTAACTTTACGATGTTCCGACTAATAAATTGTGTAATGTATAAATTATTTGTATTTGAAGTTGTCGACCCTAACGTTGACGGTAATCGGCTCAGTGGGATTGTTAATTATATAAGTGTGACAATACACCACTTAAACATTCTATTTTTTAACTGGTTATTTATTGTAATTTCTGCATTTGTTTTTGCTTTTCTTTACTTTATATCAGGAGTCTTACATTACATCTACGCAAATTACGGTCTTATATCAATAAATTCATGAATAAACGAAGTGAAAAGTCCTATTTACCACTATTTGTAAACTCCAACAATACTGAGTTGAATCATAATAATAATAAGGTGACTGCTAAACAAGCCGCTAAAGCGGCAGCCGGTGGAACTAGTCTCTTGCTAATGACGTTTATGATATTGATGTGGACTGCTGTAGTTCCAATACCGTCAGTCATAAAAACGTTAGATACTGCATCATCGATATCTACAAGAAATTTTTTCAGTTCATTTCCAGGTTAGGATTCGATTTTATTAAGTGTGCATATTTGTGTTTTTTTTGTCTTATCTATTCGGAATGTATCCTCATTACCTATTGTCTCATCTGTTTTGAGATAAATGTGAAGTGATCAATGATGATAAGCTATTGAGTTGCTACCTTCAACTTAGGTTGCTCCATTCAATTCGGATTTAAATTGTCGGTTAGTATCACTTACTCGCAAACCAATTATGTGTATAAATACATTTACAACAGCCTTAATAGTGAGGTGAAAACCAGTGGTATATTAAGGAATTAAAAAAACTAGTGAAGAAAAATATTTTAGAAGTTGGCCGCTAGGGTGAAGTACGCATAGCGTGAGAACATAGGGTTGTGAGAAAACCTCAATATAATGCAAACAAATTACCAAAAAGGTTATATGATATAACTTGATTTTGTAAATTTGCTCGCTTCTCCAATTAAAAGCGCTTACTATATATGTATATATATTTGAAAGCTCGTAAACCTTTAACGTAGTAAAGTTTAATTGGGTGATTTTTAGATCGGCTTCATTGTAAAACTGACAATAGCTAAGGCAAAACTAGAAAGTATTGAACAGATGTTGTTGTATCATATGCTCGATACTTTTCAAGAATTCATACCGAAGTCAACGGCTTTGTACGATACAATCAAAGTCATAACTTTCAGTTCTTATAGCAGCTACAATACTTCTTAGTTATCGAAACCCGTTAGACTCTACATTTTAAATTCCTATTAATTGGGTAATATATAATACGGCTTTCATTTAGTATCATTAGTATTCTTTACTGCCTCACTTAATAATTGGTTAAATTTGCAGATATTGACATGCCACTACAATTCTGGTTGTGGAGAAGTGGCTCTGTGTTTAAGGCATTCAACTTTCAGTCACTAAGTTGTGGTTCCGAATACCACTCCACCTACTTCGGTTTGGACAACCGGATAATATCACTCAGCCTTGACATTTAGGCTGATTAAAAGTAAATTATACTAATTTGTACCTGCTTTTCTTATTAAGGTGGCAGATATATCATCTATGTAAACTTCCTTTGTGTTTGGAATGCTGTTGACGAGAAACGGGAGGAATTATTCGCTCAAGATTCTTTTTTTTGAGCCAAAAAGGATAAGTGTATTCATTTACGTTTTTATATATTCCATTGTATCGTCGAAAACAGCAAACTAGAAAATAAACTATGAAATGTGGGAATACATGACTAATTCACCTTGACTTACAGAGAAAATTACATCTATTTACTTTCCTGATTTGTTTCAATTTATATGAATGATGATATCACATTCAATTCTATCCGTTAATCATCTTGTAAACATCCGAATACACAGACACATGAACTTTGGATAAGTTTAGCTTCACGTTCTCAAATAATTTCAACAGCAGATTAAGTTATTTAAGATTTATTGATATCTTCAATAAGCATTTTTCAGTTTTTTTTTCTCCAAGAATAACAACTTCTAAGAATACACATATGTATTTTCTATTAACCATCTAATTAGGTCGGTCTCGAATGTTGATGAGTATTAACAACCTTCCAGAATTGTATTCCTCCTCCTCGTCGTCGTCTTCTCAAGACCTAATTCTTAATGAATCAAAAACAACTTTATCCAATCCGGATATTATACCTGAGAATTCAATTCAATATATTGTTCCAATTAGCAAATATATTACACCAGTGGTAAGTAATTTTCTATTCATGTTTATTATGCTTTGTTTCTTTTTTTACGAAAGTTTTTACTATAGTAGCAGAATATGATCTTCGAGCACGTAGTAGTCTAGTGAACTAAAAAAACGTGACAACGCGAATCAGAGGGCAAAGATCATACGAAAAATCGAGTTGGTAGAAAGTATACGATCGGTTATCGTTCCACAACAGATCTTAGCCTTTCTAATAAAATCTGACTATTCGTGCAACCGCCTTAGCAGTAGCGTAAGAATCAAATAGCTAATCTTTTCATTAAGTGATAAAATTTAAGATCATCCGTTAATTTTTTGATCGTTTATGGACTGCACAATGATTCAGAACTTTATTCAATCTGAAAATAATTGCCATCATCATGAAATAATATTCTATGCACATTTCGATGTCATTGGCTTATATTCATGTCTCATTTATACATATTAAGTAGTTAAGTATCTATTTTATATAAGACTATTTGCTTTTAACTGTTGTGGATTCATTATCAAATGGTTTTTAAAATTTCATTTAATTTTGTATAAAGTTAATTTATCAAGCAATTAAGTTTTAGCCTGGTCTATTCTATGTTAAATGTTCTACAGTCTAAATGATTATTACTTTCTTCATCACTTTCAAATTGGTTATTGTTAATTTTCACACTTACTTATACTGTTTATTACAGTGTTAGCAACTCTTGAATGAATTTTCCATATTTCTGCCAGTTTTTAAAATAAAATATACTCTGTGTTTTAGTGTCAGAAAATTAATGCATATGATTTATTAAAATCAGTAGACTAACGTTTGCTGGTGCGTGAGTAAACTGGAAAAAAAAAACTAGAGGAGAGAAAACCAATCAATCCAGGAACTTATTGATTGTTGAACTAACCTTTGTCGATAGGTACAGACTATGCTTCATTAAGGTTTACTCGATTAACATAACCACTAGTTGAAGATGTTTGATTGTGGTGGCATGGCTCAGAACTAATCTCAACGGTTCAGATATATTCACTCTTTATCTTTCCTTACATCTTGAGTTTCAAAATTACCTTATACTTGATATTCATCAAATTAATTTTTGCTTCAAGATCCATATTCTCTATGTCTAATGTTTTTATTCTTTACTGTCACTATTGCTGTTAGCAATTCTACTATCTTGACGGGTTTATCTTGATAATTTCATCATACTATATTGATGTAGTATGATAAGTTGAAACGATCCAAAGATTTATCAGATTCTATGTTGTTTATAACCTACGAACAACTAATATAAATCACTTTATATTAACTGTTATGCATAATTCTAATCATATTTTACTTATATTCATTAATTAATGTTTCATTTTATTTATTTTCATTTAAAAGATTACTGAACAATAATGAATAATGTATCAGTAATTCATTTACATTTATAACTATATTTTTACACCAAAATTATCGACATACAGTGCACCAACATAGAATCAATATTCTTTAGACAGAAAATTTTACGTTAATAATAAATAATTCCAGAGAGAAAAAGAAAAGAAAAGAAAACAGTTGAATACAATGAAGCCATCAATGATACTTTCAAAAAAAGAAAAGATTGCCTTATGTCTTCTTTTTCATTCATTTCATTCTTACTTAATATTGTCACAGAGTCATTATCATTTTCATCATGTATGTTTAAACGATAATATAATTTGTAAGTATCATTACCAAGGTTTGATTTGATAATTTCGATTTTTATTTATTCTTTGAAGAAGTGACTTACACTAAGCCACGAAACGTCAGAAAATCTAATTTTCTACTCATTGGGATATTACAAATATTTATTTATAACAATAATTAATAATATTTTGATTTACAAATAAATATGAATATTTTTCATTTCATTCTATAGAAAAATTATTATTATTATTTTGTGAAAGAAAAATACTTCACTTCATTAATTCTGTCGTTGTTGTTGTTCCATTTTTTTCTTTGTTGTTTTTTGTTTACTCTCCTTAAAAATCAATCAGTAAAACAGGACAATATTGATGGTGATTAGCTTGAACATATCTAACCTATGTAATTTATATTTTGAAAGTAATTACAAAGTGCTTACTAATTTACAAGCCTAATCAAGAATGATAATAATAATAACAATAATAATAATAGTAATAATAATAATAGCAGTAATAATAATATTAGCAGTTATAATAATCATCATAATAATAATAAAAATGGAACAATAAGAATGTATTATTTAAAAACAAATGATTCGTAGGATGTTTTCACTGAATGTTTGTTACTAAATTTGTAATAATGTCAAGTATACTATGTAGATGAAATGCATAATCTGAAGTAATATAATTTTGGTGTACAGCATTATTATCGTAGTATACAATATAATCAACATCAATCTTGTAATTATAGATATGTCTGTAATCAAGAATGTAACATAGACATATGTTCAATAGCATTGTCACAAATTTATGAGCGTTTTGTAATGATAAATATCGCACACAATGCAACAGTCAGAAACTAGTATTTTCTTGATAGGACTGTTATGTCATGTTTAAAAAAGTGGAGTTTAGTGATGAATGATTCCAAGTCTGTTAAACTGTACTTATAATCATCTACAATTAAAAGTAAAGTAAATGAAAACGAAAAGCATGAAATAACAAGGAAAATTCTTGCGATATGTCTATTGTCATCATGTTCTTGATTGTTTCATAACATATAGATCTAGATAAAAAAAAGATTATCTGAACCAACCAACTATTCTGTACATATCCTTTTAATACCGAAAGGTCTGTTATAGTTAGGATGAGGTCTAGAACTGACCAGAAATAATATAAGCTCGTAATAAAATCAGCATGAAGGAAATTTTGACAAGTATACTCGATAATAACAATTTCCATCTATATAAAGTCCCTATAATTTCACTGATGAGATGATACATATTCTTCAATTTAAGGACTTTTAGGTTAGTGTAAGAAGAGAGGAAATTATTGGCGTGTTGTTCAGACGTTGGTAGTGAATTCGTTTCATGGATAAATTGTGGCAATTTATTCCAAACTGTCACAAATAAACTGTTTATTTAATTTATGCGAATATTCGTCATTATTAGATCGAATAGCTTGACGAAAATTGGACTCCGAGTATAAAGAAGTCATTACTTGGGCAATTTACATTTGAAATAATCTCAGCGATTAAGATTTAAATAATTCTAACGTTTCGTCCAGCAAACTTGTCTGGACCTCTTCAGGGTAATAATCAAAATCATCAAAGAAATATATAGCGCTAATCGAATTATATTTGGATCTTGACTTTAGTAAGTAGGATAACATGAGTCAGTTAAATGCGAATCATGTAAAAACAAATGACTGAATGGATTATGTGTATGTATAAGATTAAATTATTGATAGTTGATATTAAGTGTTAATGTTTTATATAAAAGAAAAAGTGAAGTGCAAGTTGAAGGTTGCTAGTGGAATACTGCCCTTTCTGTTCAGGCTGTTCTTATTTGCCCATACATACAGCGTTTATGCTGTCAATCCTTCTTTATGAGTGTTAAAACGTTTCTGAAGTATTTTGGTCTCTTCAAAACTGATCTCGTGTCCTGTTTCCTACGCATGTAACGCTATCACCGACCTATTCTCTAGTTTCTTCATATCAATCGACGATTTGAGAACATTTTTCAAACACTGTTTGTATGCCTTCAATCTTACATTCAATTGTCTTAAATTTTCTCCCACATAATATTCATCACATTCATAACAGTTAATCTCATAGACAGTATTCGGTTGTTCCTTCTTCGGGAACCTATACTTGACCTTCACTAATGCCGATCTTATGGTGTCAGTAGCCCGAAAATACACTCTTATATCATTCTTGTTTAGAATCCTCCTGATTTCTCCCAATGTGTCACTACGATATTGGATGACGTTTGAGTAGATGTCGTCCGAAAGTGCAGACAAACCTCTATTCAATTCAACTTGTGGTCTTCCTTATCTGTAACGAGCTTAATATTTCTGTTAATTAAATTCTTTACAAGTGACATTCGTACACAGCACATAAGCCGAACCACAATCTAATTATCTCTCAGAATGCGTTGATTTCCTGAATACATTTATTTTCAACTTGTCATCGTTCAATCAAACAATCGAGAAACGCTAGTTCGTGGTCACTGGACTCTATTTGCTTCCCTAGCTTGATGCTCTCCGAAATGCTGTTTACATCAAACAATTCTTCCGAACCATTTCGTTTAATGATAATAAAAATGTTCTCTACATGCTGTAATCGGACTTTTTGTGGATATGCACATCTTGTTATCGCATTGGTTTCTAGGGTATGCATGAATAAATTCATTACAATCGGAGAAACTGACGAACCCCTCTCTATATCTTCTTTTTGTCTGAATACGTCTCCTCAAAATTTGAATAACGTAATAGCTTTAGATCGATCTAACGGGCATCATAGATTCAAATCTGATTTTGATGGAGTTTTGTTCTCTGAGCTGGATGGTTTGGTCGTGGAGCTTCAGATAGAAGCTTGTGCTGATGATGTCGTTCAGAAGAACGATGAAAGCTCCACGACCAAACCATCCAGCTCAGAGAACAAAACTCCATCAAAATCATCCACCTGAGCTACAAATCTTCTCCACCATTCAAATCTGAGTCAGATTCTAGACCATCATAGATAATATCCAATGCTCTGTTGATAGGTAAATTAGTAAATAAGGAAGGTACATCAAAACTTGTCAATAATTCATACTCTTCTATATGAATGGTATCGATATTATTCTTGAATTTAATAGATTTTAACTCTAAATATGAATGTGTTAGCACAGTATAGACTTGACCTGATTTGATTGTTAAACGCCATACATTTCTTTGATGATTTGGATTATTACCCTGAAGAAGTCCAAACAAGTTTGCTGGACGAAACGCTGGAATAATTTAAATCTCAATCGCTGAGATTATTTGAAATATATTTTTTAATTGTAGTCAATTAATTGATACATTCAGAATAAGAAACTTAATATTGAGTTACGAATAATATAACTCTCAAGACTCTGAGTTGCACTATCTTTTGAACTAAGCGGTTATGATGAACTGACAGGCGCTATTCCTGGACAGCTTTCATTCTCTCAGGCACCACATCATAAGGTGGCCATCTTTTCGCTTTTCCAGCTAGTCCCAGAGCTGGCTAACAAGACATGATGTGTGGGACGCTGCTGTGGTATACGTAAAACATGTCAAATCCACCGGAGTCGATGTTCCCACTTGTTAACATCATATAAATTGTCATCACTATGACCCAACATACATTGTAGACCTGAATTTCTAAGATGGCGTTGACAATGGATATCAGGAACCCTTTAGAAACAACGATGATCGAACACAGAGAGTCATAAAGCATACCAAACTCGCAGAAGCTAGTTTTCACTAGCACAGAGCAAAGCTGCTCTAATCGGCTTGTTGAAAAAATGACCCTTTACAGTCAAACTAACATTATGATGTCATGAATGATGGACTGGATTAACATAAACTTTTTTGACATTCAATAAACCAAGATTAATATAATCAGTCACGCCACCACCAGTACTCACATAACCACCGTAATAACATGCGATTGGTTCCTTTTATGAATTTGAATAAAGCCAAAACAACAATTGAAGCATAATAACGTGAATTTATTATATTTCGTGGTTTTTTATCAGCTGCTTATATGCATTGAAATATAGCATTGAGGTAAGACATAATGTGAAACAATTGACAGAAAGAATTAGAATAATCCTTGTCATTCTAATTCTTCCCATCACCACTATCAATTGTGCCACATAATATTTTACTTCAGTGTTACATTTCAATACATAAATGGTTGTAACCACCTGACAAGAAGCTCCTGAAATAGACCGATTTTTCAAACTACTTCTAATGCGACACTGCAAATAATAGGTTACAGCACAAGCTTCTTTCAGTCATGCTGAACCAAACTCCTATAGCCTTATCAATTGAACTAATCCTCAATTGTTTAGCAACCAGTAGTATGTTTTTCTAATCAACAGGGATTGAGCGATTTTGTCATATACTACTCAGTTAAGTAATACATTGGAAATTGTATTTATTGATTAATAATTAAAATCTAAAATCAGTATTGTTTCTTGTTCAGAAAAACTCAAAGTTTGTTTTAATTTAACTCTGAACACAATTATCATGAAGATGATGGTCGTGTGCTAAATTTCACATTTTTCTAATTATTTCACTCTAGTTCATATGTGTATATCAATACTTCACAAACTATTTACTGTATTCAATAACAAATCTGCAAAATAACACACACACAGTTTAGTATATGCGACATTACTTATTATATGTACCAAGAAAAATTCATTATCCTGTTTCGGCTAACCTTACAAACTATATGTGTACAGAGATAGAAATTATTTCAGTCAGTGATATAATATGAAAGTAATATGATGTTGACCTATACATATTTGTGGATTACTTATTTTCACTGGCTCTTCTTTTCCAAAATAGATCGATC